CAACATCAGACTTTTAAAAAAATTGAAGTATAGTTGATTTACAATATTGTGTTAGTTTCAGGTGTACAGCAAAGTGATTAAGTTTTATATATATATATATATATATATTTCCATTATAGGCTATTACAAGATATTGAGTATAGCTCCCTGTGCTATACAGTAAATCATTGTTGCTTATCTATTTTATGTATAGTAGTTTGCATCTGTTAATCCCATAATCCTAATTGTAAGTGTTCTTTTTATATTCTACATATTACACCTTTATCAGACATACAATTTGCAAATATTTTCTCCCATTCCATGGACTGTCTTCTCACTTTCTTTTCTTTTTTTTTAAATTAATTAATTTATTTATCTTTGGCTGCATTGGGTCTTCATTGCTGCGTATGGGCTTTCTTTTCAGTTGCAGCTTAGTTGCTCTGTGGCATGTGGGATCTTCCCAGACCAGGGCTCTAACCCGTGTCCACTGCATTGGCAGGCAGATTCTTAATCACTGCGCCACCAGGGAAGTCCCTGGAAGGGAGATTCTTAACCACTGGACCACCGGGGAAGTCCCAGATTTTGTATTTATTCTTGAGTCAGGTTTGGTAGTGTGTGTCTTTTTAGGAATTTGTCCATTTCATTTAGGTTATCTACTTTATTGGCCTACAGTTGTTTACAGTATTTCCTTATAATACTTTTTATTTCTGTAAGATCGTTAGTAATGTTTCATCTTTTTTTTTTTTTTTTTTTTTTTTTTTTTATTTAAATGCATTAATTTTTGAAATACTGATTTAAAAAGTGATTATACATCTATTCAAGTTTTTATGTATTTTTTTTTTTTTTTTTTTTTTTTTTTTTTTGCAGGATCTCAGTTCCTGACCAGGGACTGAACCCGGGCCACAGAAGTGAAAGCCTGGAATCCTAACCAGTAGGCCATCAGGGAACTCCCCCTCTTTCTTTCTTCTTTTTTTTTTTTAAATTAATTAATTTATTTATTGCTGTGTTGGGTCTTTGTTGCTGTGCGTGGACTTTCTCTAGTTGTGGCGAGCGGGGGCTACTCTTCGTTGTGGTGTGCAGGCTTCTCATTGCAGCGGCTTCTGTTTGTTGCGGAGCACAGGCTCTAGACACGCAGGCTGCAGTAGTCGTGGCACGTGGGCTCAGTAGTTGTGGCTCGCGGGCTCTACAGCACAGGCTCAGTAGTTGTGGCACTCAGGCCTAGTTGATCTGCGGCATGTGGGATCTTCCTGGACCAGGGCTCGAACCTGTGTCCCCTGCATTGGCTGGCAGATTCTAAACCACTGTGCTACCAGAGAAGTCCCTCGTTTTTTTTTAAATACTCTTTTGTATTTTCTTCTATAAATTCTTTTTTTTTTTTGGCTGCATTGGGTCTTCATTGCTGCGTGCATGCTTTCTCTAGTTGTGGCGAGCGGGGGCTACTCTTCGTTGTGGTGTGCGGGCTTCTCATTGCGGTGGCTTCTCTTGTTGTGGAGCACAGGCTCCAGGCACACAGGCTTCAGTAGTGGCAGCACACAGGCTCAGTAATTGTGGCTCACAGGCTCTAGAGTGCAGGCTTAGTAGTTGTGCTTGGGCTTAGTTGCTCCACAGCATCCCCTCTTTCATTTTTGATTTTAATAATTTGAGTCTCCTCTCTCTTTTTCTTGGTCAGTCTAGCTAAAGGTTCGTCAATCTTAGTGGTCTTTTCAAAGAGCCAACTTCTGTTTTAGTTGATTCTATTGTTTTTCTGTTTTCTATTTCATTTATTTACACCCTAATCTTTATTATTTCCTTCCTTCTGCTTTCTTTAGATTTAGTTTGCTCTCCTTTTTTCTTTTCTTTTCTTTTCAGCTGTGACACGTGGCTTGCAGGAGCTTAGTTCCCCAAGCAAGGATTGAACCCAGGCCCCATGCAGTGGAAGCGGGGAGTCCTAACCACTGGACTGCCAAGGAATTCCCTGCTTTTCTTTTTCTAGTTTATTAAGGTAGAAGGTTAAACTGTTGATTTGAGATCTTTCTTCATTTTTAATATAGGCATTCATAGCTACACATCTCCTTCTGAGCACTACGTATGCTGCATCCCAAGTTTTGGTATCATTTTCACTAACCTCAAAATATTGTCCCTGTGATTTCTTCTTTGACCCAGTGGTTGGTTAGGAAAATTCACATACTTGTGAATTTTCCAAATTCCCTTTTGCTATTGAGAATATTTTGTGACTTCAACCTTTGCAAATTAATTGAGACTTTTTTGTGGCCTACCCTATGGTCCATCCTGGAGAATGTTGCATGTGCGCTTGAGAAGAATGTGTATTTTGCTGTTACTGTGTGGAGTAGTCCTCCTATGAACCTGCCATACTATTTCTACGTACTGCAGCTGGAGCTGGTGTTTTTTTGTTTTTTTTTTAAAGTATTTATTTATTTATTTATTTGCCACATAGGGTCTTAGTTGTGTCACGCAGGATCTTTCGTTGTGGTGCGTGGTCTTCTCTCTAATTGTGGTGTGCAGGCTCCAGAATGCGCAGATTCCAGAGCACGGGGGCTCATTAGTTGTGGTGGGTGGGCTCTGTAGTTGCAGCGCGTGGGCTTAGTTGCCCCGCGGCATGTGGGATCTTAGTTCGCTGACCAGGGATTGAACCAGCGTCCCCTGCATTGCAAGATGGATTCTTAACCACTGGACCACCAGAGAATCCCTGGACCTGGTGTTTTGAATTGAAAATATGATCCAGACAATCCCCCACTTAAAATTAACTCTCAAGATAAAGTCCTGTCTCTATAACATAGTGTATAAGGCCCTTCATGTGCTCATTCCTGCCCACCTGTCTGGAATCACATCTCTTATTTACTTCTAAATTTTTTACTGTAATAAAATATAAATAACATAAAATTTAGCATTTTAACCATTTTTGGTGTACAGTTCAGTAGCATGAAGTACATTTACTTTGTTGTGCAATCCCCTCTTTTCTTTTTGACACTCTTGTCTCCAGCCATCTGAACTATTTTTAGTGCTCATACATTCATTCAACAAAAGCTGTTGAATGTCTACTAGGTGCCAGGCACAGTTTGAGGCACTGGAAGTACATCAGGGAACAAAGTAGACAGAAATTCCTAGCCCCATGGAACTTACATGTATTAAGGGAGACAAAAAAATAAGTGCAATATACAGCATGTTAAATAGTGAATCATATTAAGAAGAAAAAGCAAAGAAGGGAGATAGGAAGATGTGTGTGTGTCTGTGTGTGTTGAAATTTTAGAAAGAATAATCAGGGAAGTTCTCACTGGAGAGACATTTAAATAAAGACCAGAAGGAAGGAGGGAAGTCATTTGTATATTTTGGGGAAAAGCATTCTGGACAGAGGGAAGATCAAGTGCAAGTCATGAGGCAGGATCATGCCTGACAGATTCAATGAATATTGACGAGGTCAGTTTGGCTAGTGCAATCAGATCACATAGGGCCTTTGAGAAGCTTTTCATCATTCTCAACTGAAAATATGATCCAGAAAATTTCCTGCAATAGGAAGCCATTGGAAAGTTTTGAGCAGGGAAGTGACATGATATGCTTTATATTTTAAAGATCACTTTGGCTGCTCTATTGAAAATACACTGTAGGGACGCAAAGTATGGGAGAGAGAAACAATTAGGAGGCTATTGCAATAATCCAGGTGATAGATGAAGTTGACTTGACAAGGTTGGTAGCAGTGGAGATAGTGAGAAATAGATTCTGACTGCTTGGAGGTGGGTACGATGAAAGAGAAACCAAAGAGTCAGGATGACTGCAAGGGTTTTGGCTTAAGGACCTGGAAGAATGGAATTGTCGTTTGCTGAGCTAGCGAGGACTGTGGAGTATTTTGGGAGGAGAGAATATTGGAAGCTCAGTTTTGGACTCGTTAAGTTTGCTATCTCTAGTTGAAATCCAAGTGGAGATGTGGAATAAGGAAGTGATATATAGTATTCTGGAGTCCAGGGGAAAGTGGGTTGGAGTTATAATTTGGGAACTATCAGTGTGTAACTTTGTTTACTATTGTGGGAGTGGAGTCATTTAATAAACATACATTACTGAGCTGAGTACCTGCTTGGTGTGAGGCAAGATGCACAGGTTTTAGCCTTGGGTAGTTGACAGGAAAGGGTGTCATTTATTGAGATAGGAAACACAAGAAGAGGTGCAGTTCTGGGAGGAGGTGACTGGATTCGTGTTGGATGTGTTGCATTTGTGGTGCCTGTGGAGGTGTCCAGGAAAGAGTTCGCTTTATGGGGGCTGCAGCTCAGGGGACAGGTCTAGTCTGGAGACTTGGCACGTAGTTGGCAACTGAAGCTGTAGGAGTGGTTGACCTAGGCCAGGGGTAGCGTGAGTCTCTCAGCGGCTGGAAACAGGGATGACACGTCTTCCCACATCTATTTTTTCCTGTTTCCCTTAAGCGCCTGCTGTCATCACACAAAGCGCCCTAAATCGATGGCTACCAAAGAATACTTTTTAAAAAATTTATTTATTTATTTATTTATTTTAGGCTGCGTTGGGTCTTCGTTGCTGTGCACGGGCTTTTCTCTACTTGCGGCGAGCAGGGGCTACTCTTCCTTGCCGTGCAGGCTTCTCACTGCGGTGGCTTCTCTTGTTGCCGAGCAAGGGCTCTAGGCCTGTGGGCTCAGTAGTTGTGGTTCGCTGCTCTAGAGCACAGGCTCAGTAGTATGGCTCACGGGCTTAGTTGCTCCGCTGCAAGTGGGATCTTCCGGACCAGGGCTCAAACCCGGGTCCCCTGCATTGGCAGGAGGATTCTCAACCACTGCCACCAGGGAAGTCCCAAAGAATACTTTTTATTCCCCACAGCTCCTCCCTTCTCCCGGAGATTGCGGATAGAGGCAGGGTCTAAAAAACCCACCCCTATCGAAGTGAGCCTCCAGGGGTGCTGACGTCACCAAGGAAGCGGGGTATATGGCGACCATGCCCCCGGCACCGGGAGGCGGGGCCAAGGGCTCAACCTGGAGCTGCACCGACCCCTCCCCAGGGCGCTTCCTTCCTCCGGCCAGTAGGCGTCAGGCCAGCTCGAGCAAGCCGCCGTCGGCCAACAAGCCCTGAGTACGGTTGTAGACGTCCTCTAGGGTGCCCGCAGCCCGGACCAGCGCGTTCCGCGCCTCCGCCTCTTTGGAACCCGGACACGCCAGCTCCAGCAAGCGGCCGCGACCCGGGAAGGCGAGGAATGCGAGGTGAGCGGCCTGACGGACGAACCAGGGGTGGTGTGGAGCCAGGGCCGTGCCGTAGGCGTCGCTGCACTGAGCGCCAGCGTCCGGGCCTCCGAGCATCCCTGTCGCCACCCGGTGGAGGCAGAGCTGGGACCAGCGTAGCGCACGGTGCAGCAAGAGCATCGTCAGTGAGCCCGGGCACCTGGCCGAGAGTCGTGGGGCGATCCCGGGCCGCTCCCACGCCACCATGGTCGCCAGCGACGTGTAGTGCGCGGCCTCTGGGCCGTGCACCAGAGCCTCGAGCGCTGTCACTTTGGCGGAGGCCTCGCTTGTGGCGAAGGCGAAGATGGAGCCGAGGGGAGTTAGGAACCTGTGTGTGATGGTGGGAAGGGTAAGAAGGTTTGAGAGAGGGCGATGGAGCCACAAAGAGGCGGGCACTGGATGGGGTGCGGGGAGAGACCACTCACCGGACTAGCTCCCTCCATCCTGCCAGGTACTGCGACAACTCCACATCCCTTTCCGGGTTCAGACTGGCGCGGAACGGCCTCATCATGCGGCCCAGCATCCCCTGAGGGCCCAGGCACTGAGGCTCTTCCCGTTCCGGGGCCTCCAAGGGTCTCGACTGTTGCCGGACCTGGGGGTGAGATAGGAGGGGAAAGGAGTGGGAGCAGAAGCCCTAGCTTGCTGGGTTCGCCAAGCAACCCAGTTGGGCTCTGAAGAAATTATTCCTTAGATCTAGATGGTGTCCCTCTTGCTGTATTCTCAGCTTCTGACGGGAGAAGGGAGAGGAGGAAGAGGGCCTGCCCTTCATCGGATCCTCAGCCTGGTGCACTTCCCCCTGCTCAGGGTTCTACCTGGAGCTCCCAGTCCCAGCCCTTCCGGGAGCATACCTGGAAAGGAGGCGGTTCCCTGGCAATGCAGGACTGGGCCCCAGATCTGCAGCCTGAGAGGGCACCTGAGGGAAGTGAAACAGAACAACGAGGGCTTGAGGAGAGTCTCAAGGGCCTGGATTTCCCGGTTCCTCCCAGAGCAGGTGAGGGAAGGGGTACTCACGGAGGCTCCGAGCCCAGAAATAAACAAGCAGTAGTGTGAAGACAGCAAGAGGAATCGCACTGTGCAACCAGCGCCGAGGGACCCGCTGAGGCAGTGCGACCCGCATGGCTGCTGCAGGGACCACCGCCCTCTCACCAGCCCCTTGCCAGGCCTTGTCCCTTTGCCTCCAGGAGGGGAGAGAAGCAGCCGCAGTGCCTGAGGTGCAAAGGGTTAATAATTAACCTACTAAGTCCCCCTCCCCTGTGCCCTTTGCCCCAGAGGGCAGCATCTGAGGAGAGAGGGATTGAATGAAGAGGATTTGGAGGATTCGATAGCAGTGACACGTCGCTACATTTCCCTTCCCTGTAAGGCCAGGTTGTAGCAAGAGGAAGCCTGGGTATTGTGAGGAGAGGCTGAGGTCAGAACCAGTTCCCCCACTGAGCAATGGTGGACCCTAAGTTGACTGTGCCTGAGTTCCCTCCACTGTACATTGAGGATAATAATATGTTCTTTTGCAGCCTTCATGTGAGGATTAAATGATATCGTATGTGCAAACACTGTAAATGGAAAAGCTTACTACAATTGTTCCATAAATCTTACCTTTTAAGTTCAAGCATGGGGCATCTGGGATTCAGAGAACACCCTCTTCTAAATTCTCTATCCTGTCCCCAGGGGATCTTATCTTATTATTATTTTTTATATTATAAATTTATTTATTTTTTGGCTGCGTTGGGTCTTCGTTGCTGCACGCGGGCTTTCTCTAGTTGCGGTGAGCCGGTGCTACTCTTCGTTGCGGCACGCGGGCTTCTCATTGTGGTGGCTTCTCTTGTTGTGGGGCACAGGCTCTAGGTGCGCAGGCTACAGTAGTTGTGGCATGAGGGCTTAGTAGTCGTGGCTCGTGGGCTCTAGAGCGCAGGCTCAGTAGTTGTGGCGCATGGGCTTAGTTGCTCCGCGGCATGTGGGATCTTCCCGGACCAGGGCTCAAACCCGTGTCCCCTGCATTGGCAGGCAGATTCTCAACCACTGCGCCACCAGGGAAGCCCAGGGGACCTTATCTTAATCTGGATGCCTGAGGTCTCAATTATATAGTTTAGGCTGTCACCTTTTACATTTTTGTAGTTTACTTTTTTTTAATCTCCAAATTGATTCCTCAATCATTCATCAAACCAACCTTTATTAACTACCTCCACATGCCAGGCCCTGTACTAGGCCCCATGAAGACAAATGTGCCTTCACAGAGCTCAGGGTCCATTGGAGGATTTATCATCTGTCTCCCCCACTGGAATGTGAGCTCTGATGAAAGACAGGGGCCTTTTCTTGGTGGCTGCTCTATTTAGCATTTAGAATATTGCCTGGGCCAAAACACATTATTTCTAAATAAGTAATATTGAATAGACAAAGGAGTGTGTATGAAGGGCAGGCAAATCAGGGGTGGTACTCCCCACAATTTTTTTTTTAAAATTAGGAGTCCCCTGGGGCTTCCCTCGTGGCACAGTGGTTGAGAGTCCGCCTGCCAATGCAGTGGACGCGGGTTCGTGCCCCGGTCGCGTACCGCAAAAAAAAAATCAAAAAATAAAAAAATAAAAAAGACCCTACCTTTCAGGGGCCTTGTTCGGTAATTAGGAGTCCCCCTGGTGGTCATAGGGGGAAAAACATTGAGGGAAAGGCTACAGGAAGCGATGAAAGAAATAGCGTCGTCTCCTGTTCTCAGTTCCCTGTCCATAAACTTTTTAAAACTGTTCCTGTCTCTGTGTACATTTTCTTTTGAGGGGAAGGGATGTCCCAGATTCTCAAGGAGTCGGGGCCCCAATCACTCACAAGATGCTTCCCAGCTCCCACAGTTCATGGATCCTTGCCCTGTCTCACTCCGATGCTCCTTCACATCCTGGAGGTCCCTGGGGTCCCTTGTCCAGTGGGATTCTGGAACCATCACTTCCATCCCTAGCCGTGGGTTCCCCATTTCCTAGTGCTGGAATGTTCCCTGGCTTGCTGACTGTGACCTTAGGCAAGTCGCTTGCAATTTCGCACCCCTAGTTCCCTCACTGGCAGAATAGGAATGGTAATTCTCACCTCCTAAAATTGTTATGTGGATTAAATAAAACATGCCAGCAAAACGCTGACCACGATTCGTGGCCTGTAGTCTGTAAACGTTCGGTAGGTTGGTGGTTATTTAAACCCGTGGGTTCTTGCTGCCCCTTCTCCTCTGGCGCTGGGAGCGTCAGTCTCCCTGAGCTGAGAAACAAGTCTGTAGGCTTCCGGAACGGATTAGTTTTGAGTGTCACTTAATCCAGGTGGCCCTTCCGCAATCGGAGCCCTCTTAGGGCAAAGGTGGTATACACCTGCACAAAGGGCCTGGGCTCACAGAGGCTGCGGGATGGGGCGGGGCGCGGGAGCCAAGCTGCTTCTGCTGCTGTGGGCGACGTGCTTCGGGCGTGCAAGAGCAGATGCGTTGAGCGGCTACACATTGGTCATCGAGGTGACCAACGGGGGGCCCTGGGGCAACTGGGCCTGGCCAGAGATGTGTTCTGACGGATTCTTCGCCAGCAGTTTCTCGCTCAAGGTAGGGGCTCAGGCCTAGGTCTCGGTGGGGACCCCAAGCAGAGGATGGCAGTCTTCTGACTAGTCCTCTGCCGCCCAGGTGGAGCCCTCCCAAGGCATTC